CAGATTTCAAGGGGTATTTTCTATACTTAATAGCAATATTTTGGTGCATAATGTCAGTCAAATGTTGTATCTATAAAGGGCATTCAAGTGAAACCCAGGGGATGAATGAGTTGCATTATGTAAAACTGGTATAAGTTGAACAGACAAGTTAGAACAAACCTTGATGATCGATTGCGTTTATTTGTGGTCCTGTCTTTTCTACTCCATCATCATTAAGCAATAATATCCCTGATGAAGTAACTTTCAGAAGGGAATGCAAGAGATGGCGACATTGGAGACTTTGCCACCTATCGTTCGCCTGCACCACGAGCATCATGGTTGCTAGATATAACAGTAATAGTGCTCACAAAGCATCAGTTCTTCTTTCCTGTTAGCTCACACTTTTACATAATCCAAGGGCCTTCACGAAAACATTCGTTTTAGAGATCTTACTTGGTTTGTTTGTTGTCATCACCACGGGTATTCTTGAAAATTCAGCCAGTGACCTGGAGATGTCAATTAAAAAAAGAAAAAATAAGTCCTTTAAGCAATTAATGAAGTAGTAGTTTTACAACAAAAAGAACTACAAAAATTGTCTCTCACTTGATAAGTGATATATGCCAGCCCAATGGATGTTGCCTTGGAGGTACTTGCTCATATTCCCTGAACACAACAGGATGAGCATTTGATGCTTATTTGTAGTGGTTTCTTAAAGTATTTCTTAACTTTGTTATACAATGTTAACCAACGACAATGAGGGTTGCACAAAATCTTTAAAAGGTATGTTAAAAATTAATTAATGTGGAATGAATCTCCCCTGAAGTCAGAGAGCTTACTCGGGCATATATAGAGATTTTTAGAATTAAGTTAACTCACCCTGAAACAAGAGCAGCCATGCTATCCATGATTAGCAACTTCACTTGATGCTGGAGGATTAAAACCTTGATTTTCCGCAAGCTGGAAACGGGATGGTTGTAGAGCATGAGTTTCTAGTCGATCATATAAACCTAGTTAATTAGAACTAAAGCAAATTTGTATGGCACAAAGATGGATATAGCCATAAGTATGTAGAGGCCTCTTTATATAAACTAATCCCATTTTGATTTGATCAGCCTTTCTGGGTTTTTCCCTTCTCTCTCTAAATGTCTCCATTAGTAATTTGGAGGCTGTTAAGTACAATGGAAAGGAGCGGAGTGGGGGCATTTTGATTGGTGAAACCTAAATGGGTGGGAGCCTGGGAAAGAGCGGCCTCTCGAAAGCTAGAACCCCTTTTGTAATCTTTCGACTAATGCAAACATTCCGAGTATATCGCAAATGTGTGTACCAGTAAGATGCTAGAGTCAACTTTTCTACCTCTCAGTGTACTCAGTCAAGGAACCTGGTCGTAGAACTGTGATCCTACCTGCCATCTAGACAAAAACATGAAAAAAGCACCTTTAGATGTAAAATATTCGAAAAGCGCTATAAGAAGATTACTCGGACCTGTCGAATAGAAAAATTGCAAGTTTCCATGTTTTCATATCCTACATTAAGTGAACCTTTCTTCAGACAAATTCAAGATATCTTTTGCTTCAAACGTGAGTAATCAAGTTTTTAATATCTATCACAGGACTTTTCTACCTTTCTTCCCCAGTTCACATACACCAATTCAAATACTAGTTCCAATTAGGGCTCTTAGGAGATTATCTGGTAGTCAAACACTTATCTTAATAGGAATTAGTGCATGCTTGCACTCGCTGTGCAATGTAAAGAGTGTGACAAATACAAAGCATACCTCTTGCCTGCCCTCCAAACAAAATATTTTAGGGAAACTATTGAGACCAATTTCAATTATCAACCTGTAAAGAACAGATGAAAGCATCAAAATATTAGGAACTATAATAGATTTAACATAAGCTAAAGCAAAGTCACGTCAAAAGAAATGCAGCAAATAGGAGTACCTTCTTGAACTAAATTTGGATTCTACATCAATATGTATTACTCGACCATCCAAGCCTCCATAACAAGATGGCAGTGTAGTCAAAAGAGAAATCTTCAAGCAGAACTGCAATTCACACAAAAACCAACTACTATGGCCTAAAATGTCTACAGAAGGGTATGATATTTTGATTGATGCACTAGAAATTGGTATGTATAAACACAAAAGGAAGGTTTGACATACTTGTGTTTTTCAGATTCCTGCGGGCCCAACCAACTCTGTCAAAGCATGAAATGGTATTCCACCAGATAATGCTGCATCAAGACCCTTGATATGCATGGGAAGATGACCTGTGAGATATTCATTTCGCATTCATTGCTACAACAGGGATTGCACCTAAAATCAAAGCTGAAACAGTTAAGACCAATATAATGTAATTTGACTGTTCCACACCTTTCTGGAACAGAGTTAATGGCAAGTGGCTAATTGATGCATCAGCATTGCCACTTCTACTAATACAGTGACCGGATGTTGGAATCTTGTAATCAACAGATAAGGGCGGATCGATACCATAAGAATGGAACTCGGTTAAGAGGGTAAGCTTACTGTTTGATATGGTGGAGAAGCAATCTCGCTAACGAGAGCCACCACACACAGTCACACATTACTTCTGCGAAACCCACATCTAACAATTCCATCAACTCAGATTCAGTCAACAATAATGCATCCTAACAAAAAAGATTCAGTCAATGTGTGAATCCGAGGACTTAACTTCACAACTTAAATAGGTTATCCTTGATAACAGATGCTTGTAAAACATATAAAAAAGTGTGTTCTTTTTTTTAAAATATTTAAGTATTTATACACGGCAAAAGTAACAAATAAATTCACACTCCCAGATTGAACCCCTGACCTCCTTCTCGGAGGCCAAAGACTATACACCCTTAGGCCAAAAGCCCTTTGGTAAGTGTGTTCCTTCCTAACGTAGTAAACTTGAACAATCATTTGAATTCAAGTCAAGCTACTATGATGAATTACAAATCATGAGTATGCACATTTATAGGGTCTAATATCAACTGGTCTGGCAATTTGGAATCAACGGAATAGTGTGATCATGTGTTCTTCTTGGTGACAGTTCTATGAAGATTTGGGGATATTTGTAGAAGTATATCAGCCAAGGTCGCCTTCTAAATTCAAAACCTAGTGCCATGGAACAACTCCATAGATACAAACTGTATGGAACACAATTGGGACCTTGAATCTAAGCAGCCAAATATCTGTAACTAGAATTTTCATTGTAATTACTCCATACATGTCTGACATCTATAAGAGTAGCAGTGACCAACAATCAGTAGTGGGTAACATCTAACTGCTTTTTAGACTGGAATTGCAGTTGCCTTTCCCCAACAGAACGCAAATGGATTAAATTAGAAGGATAAAAGAAACCCTAATCGTGACGCTAAAGGTATACCTTAATTTGCAGTAGTGATGATATTGCGAATGTAATGCCCAATCGATTTGGGGCAGACCTGTTTAACTGATCAATGGTTGCTTGGGATTGCTTATTTGTAAAAAATGCTTATTAACTTTGGGTGTATAAAGTGTTTGAATTAGATCACGACGGTATCAAAATGCAATAAGTTAATAAGACGTTTTTTTTAATGTTCGACAAATTTTACTTATAAATGTAAAATGATAAATAGATAAAAAGATGGATGATTTTCTCGGTATTCATCGATATATGGATTAGCATCCTTCCGTAACCCTAATTAATCAAATCGCAATTGAAATCAAGGTGGAATTTGTTTGCAAATTGAATTACGAATTACTTATCGATTTCGATCGAATGAAACCTAGGTTACGGAATTCATTTCATTTTCTGTATTGTTCCCATTTTAGAGGTTTAGTTAAGAGATCCACAGATTCTGATGATTCATTGGGTTTCAAATTTCAATTGTGTTTGTTAACTTTCAGGAACTGGTTGTAAAGATCGATCATGACTCAAATCCAAAGCTAATCGAAGAGTTCAAGGTGTATGGATTGCTTGCTTTGATCGTGTTCAAATTTCATAAAGCAGAACGGAAGGTGCAATTACAAAAGCAAAGTTGAAGGAGTACATTAATGGATTTCTACTGATTCTGCTGCTATTCCCACTGTGTGTGTGTGTGTGCCTGCATGCGTGTGCGTGTGTGTCTGAGAGAGATTCCCATTTATAGAGATGATAGAGATGGTGAAACAAACAATAACACATGGAAGGAGATGAATGGGACTCATGAGAAGTATTAGGTTTAGGGTTAAAAAAGCAATTTGGTTTTAAAAGTTGATAAGTTGTTTCTGATAAGTCATAAAGGAGTAACTTATCAAAAAAAAATTATTACCGGTTTGGCACCGATATAAGTCTTTTTTTTTTCTTCTCACTCAAACACTAAAAACTGTTTATTATCGGTATCACACCAGAATAAGTCAATAAGCAATCTCAAACACCCCCTAAATGCCTTGTTCGCCATCTTTCTCTCTCCAAATAGGTTGTTTACACAAATTTCTTAACAAATACAAATATTGAGAAAAACAATCATTTTTCATCGAATACAATTTTCTTAAAACGATAATTAATATATTTCATCCATAAACAAAGTAGCTTCGTTGATAAAGCAAAGGTGATTTCGATCAAATATTCTGTTAGCTTTAGTCGTTTGCCGATTTTAAAATACTTTCTCACGTGATTTTAGATTAAATGATCTACGTAACCGGTTTTTAAAAAATTAATAATCTATTTTTCAAAACAAATATTTAAAAAATTAATCATTTAAAATTAGAAAATACAACAGTTTATTTATTCAAAAATAAGACAGAGAATAAAATGAGAATGAATTTCTATCCCTTCCTGTTTAACTTGAAATCAAAATTTAGGCTTACGAAGAAATGAACCTAAATTAAATTTTCTATTTTTTTTAAATAGAAAAATACAATTTGTGCTCGTTTTAAAACCTAAAGTTCATGAAAATGGAACGTTTAAATCATAAAAATCAAATTTAAATTTAAAATATATAATTATAATTATATCAATTTTTACATATTGATAGATATTTATACAACAATTACCTGATTTAACTCAAAATTTAATTTCTTAACATTTTTATTGTAATTACAGTTATGCCCTTTCTAAGAGATCGTTAAATTTTCAACAACAATCATTTGATCATGCATGAACCCACGTTTTACAACCTGCATGCTTAGATGTTTATCGTTGAAAATTTACGATCTTTTTCACTATAAAACCTGTATGAAACTAATTAGATTCGGGTATGCTTTCTAAACGAGGCTTCCACCTTCCGTCGTCATCATCACCACCATCATTACTGGTCTCGATCAAGCTTCCGTTTTTCTCTATTTGAGAAACCAACTCAGTCACAGAAACACCCCCTTTCTTTAACATCACCTCCAACTCTTGTTTAGTTACCACCAGCTTGATCCTCACGGTACTGGTTTTTGAACTCTTGACGGATTCAGGCGAAGCCACCGGAAGTTGAAACAGATAGTATATTTGACCGGCGACCATATCAGCTTGGTGTCGAAGATGTCTGACCACCGGAAGTACGTCGGAGATCGCATGGTCCGCATACTGTGACAACACTTGATGGACTTTCATCGGTGGTGCGTATTCAAGAACTTCACCATCTGTTTTAATCACTTTGATGATCATCTTTTCTTGTCGAATTAAGCAGTTCCCCATGTTTTTTCAGAATCTTGTTCCCGTTAAGATCCTTTGATTAAACTCTTATGTCGTATTTATAGGAAGAAAAGTACAAAAGTGCCCTTGTAGTTTTGATTTATTACAAAAAGACCCAACCATACTTTTGGACCTACCATATTGGTGCTAATGTTTGGTGGTTATTGGTATAAAGTGTAGTGTTTTCCCTTTTGCGTATACATTTGTACCTAGAAGACCATGTACGGTCCATTTTTTCGATATCGATTCGGTTAAAAATAAAGTTTCGGGCATCGTTGAATTTATGAGCAAATTTATTAGTTTTTTAAATAGAAACGGAAAATCGATCATATATAGAGAGAGTATATATTAAGACGTTTGGTTTTTGTATGAGAAAATTTATGACGAGTTTGATGGTTATAAATATATTGTTCTTTTAGTGAAACTTTTGTTTAGATACGACATTTGCATCTCGGGTTGTTGATCTTATACGTCAAGACTTGTCGGGATTTTGAAAATTGCAGACACTGCTTTAAATAAGCCTTTTAGGATGTCCAACTATCCAAGTGTGTCATAACAGCGTACTGAATGGGATTCAAGTTTATAAAACCGAAACTGTGTTTTATATACAGTAATACATGAAATATATCGTTGATGGTTTCTTTTTATATGACATTTGCTTTCGGATGTTCTATATGACAGGCTTTATAGAAAGGGTAATTGGATTATTTACTTTTTGAGTCATGTTAGGTTGTCCAACTCCGTTGTCAGAATATATTATGTCGTCTAACTTCGTTCTAATTATGACTCAGGTAAAATGTCCGTTTTTTTTTTATTTACCTGGATATCCAACACGCTATGCGAGCCGACTAATCCCAGGGCGACCACCTGCTTTGCAGATAGCCCGGAGTCACTGCATTTGAACCTCTGTGGCCACAAGGGGATTTTTATTCCTCCTTGAATTTGAACCTGAGACCTCCTGGTACTTTTGATCTTTGGAGCCAAGCTCAAACCAATCAGGCACCACCCTTGTGGTTATGTCTCATTTCTTTGTAGCGAGAAGCGAAAAAATCCATTATTAATGGTAGGTTTCCGGTTTTATTTTTAGTTGGTTTCATTTGTATCCACACAGTTCGATTTTGGTTTATTTTAAGGGGCATCCTAAAACTTACAAACGTGGAAATAAAATCGATCTGATATAGCTATAAAGAAACTGTCAGCTATGACAAACACCTATTACTAAATCGTCAACTAACCTAAATCGTGGAACTTAGTGATTCTCTTGTGTCGATTTTTATTGGATGGTTTTGCTGTCCACTTTATTCTTTTTACACGGTATTTTTCTCACATTTTATATAACAGTGTTTTTACGACTAAAACATGTGATCAGAAAACATTCCAACCATAATCGATCATTGCCTAATGAAAGTGGATTTTAACAATTAGACACACTAGGGATTGCAATAGCTTTTACCCCCAAGTGGTTGACCGCTATTGATTACGACCCTGCACCTTTAGCACTTGCTATATTTGTACAATCTTGACTATCGTTGGTATTTGTATTTTATGAAATACATCCATGACATGTTCGTGAATTCCTATTGTGGTACATTTTTTGTGTCACTGGTTGTAAAGTTTCGATGCTTGGTGGGGTTAAGATCCCGTGTTTGGATGTACAGGGATGAAACATGAATCATGTGTACTGCTTTAGGTTTAAATATTATCTATATAGCAACACTGTTTGTTTGATCAACTGTAAACTCACCTACTTACAAAGTGAGCATACCAGCACTAAAAGCTAATATTTGCCTGCCAACATAACATAAATAAAAAGCGGACAAATGAATTCGTTCTTGAGACTATAATCTGTTACAGTACGTACTGAAAAGTCTATAACCATTAACTGATAAATCTTATCAACTTATTTATTTGTAAATCATTACTTTTTTTGAGGGAAAATCATTACTTTTTAAAAATAGGGAAAATTGCTTGTAGAATAATGACACTTCAATTCAATTATCATTTTGGAAGATGCACTTTCAAAAATTAATGTTTGATGGTCTGTAATTTAAATAAAATGTCTATATTTTGATATACCCTTTAAAAATACGTTTTTTAATATAGACTTGAAATAAATATTTAAATATATATATGTATATATATATATATAGAGAGAGAGAAAGAGAGAGAGAGGGGGGGAGGGGGGTTGAGTTCGAATGAGAACAATGCATATTAAAGAGAATATGAAAACGGTCGAATCACATGTGATTTTACACTAACATTACGTACAAAATCACATGTGATTCCCGCGACTTTTCCTACGGCCTGAAGTCGTGGCCAAAGGCGTCTACATAGCTTTTTTTTACCATCAATGTAAATCAGATGTGATTTACATGTGATTTGGCCGTTTTTATATCATCTTAAATAATTATCATTCTCGTTTAATCCTCTACACACACACACACACACACACATATATATATATATATATATATATATATATATATGACAATAATCAAACGAGAACCACAAAAATGTTACAAACCCGAGAGAACCGATATAAAAATATTTTTTTGAAGTATATAATATTTATATACGGTAAATAAAACAAATAAACTCACTCACCATTCTCATATTTGGTGCCCCTAATCTCTTAGAAGGTCAAAAACTCGCATACTGCTAGGCTAAAGGGCCTTTTACGGTTTTACCTGATCTTTTTTCATCAAAAACTATTAGTTCAGCTATCGTTTCACATATTTTGTGTTCATATGGTGAAAAAAAAATCTATATGAAACTTTTTTTTTATTTACTTAGTGAAACGAAAAATATATGAAATTTTTTTTCACAAAATGTGAAACAAATGCATGTGAAAAATATCACACTATGAAACAAATATATGTGAACAATATTTTAAATTCTAAAATTTGATCAAAAAAAATGAAAAAAAAAATAATTTTTAACCGGTTCTCACAAATTTATAATATTTTTATAGTTCTCATCTGATTTAACATATATATATATATATATATATATAGGCCTAATCAAATGAGAACTGTTTTGTTTGTGGTAATTTTAACTTAAAATATTAATTAAGGATATTTTAGGGATTTTATAAATATTATCTCTCATCTCTCCTCTTTCCTTTCTCCGGTGAATCTTATTCGGCGAACCTTATTCCGATGAACCTTATTTCAACAAAATACACACCGTGATACCTACAAACGATATTCACCGTGATACCCAGATATACATACAAGATGCACAATGTGGTATCCTTTGTAAAACAATGAAAAAAACGAAAATGCACACTATGATACATTTCATAAAACATATAAAATACATTGTGATACATATGAAATATTGTGAACGTTATCATTACAATACACTTTGATTCACAAACATCTTTAAATATCTCAAATAAATGGTTCACATTCAATCTCACGGTTACCACAAAGGCACGGATTAATCATTTATATCTTAAATAAACCCATATATATATATATAGTATATAATATATATATAATTGAATGAAATGGATGTGTTTAAATGAAGTGGGATATGAAAAATGATTTTAAGAAAAACCATGTCCAATAAAGACAAGTTTATGTTAGTGATATGACCATGATTACACCCACATCATCCACTCCCGAGATAATATTTGGCCATCGGTTGGAGGACTTGGCAATTGGCATTTGGGTCTTTGTGCTAACTCACGTCATACATACATTTGCATGGCGTAAGCAAAAGGCTATGACAAGGAATCCCTTAAAAAACCGTGTAAAAAACCTTATTCGGATAACCTGATACATAGTTGATGTAAAATTAAGATAAACTGTATATATTTAATTGAAATTAAGTTAAGATCATTTGAACCCAACTCAATTTTATAGACATAATATTTTTTTTACTATGAATTTAATACAACTGTTAAGTATTATGTAAAAAAAATTGAAAACATAACATAAATATCGGTTAATATCTAGTTTATTTGTCAATAATATATATATATATATTTCCAACTGATATTTAAGTTATAGTTAGTTTATGAAACATAACCAAATTCGAAGTATATATTATTAATTTAATTTTTGTTTTTGTATATATTATATAAAAAGTAAAAGATAGTGTTTATAAAAATTCTAAAAATAAATAAGTGGATATACCCATGCTTGGAACATAGGTCCACCCTGATTTGTGGGTTCATCCTAGAGTCGACAAAATATCTTATACAAACTTTTTAAATAAATAACATATCAAATATTTACAAAACGTCATTAATTAATTAATAATTTCATTTTATAGATAAATGCTCAATTCGTTTACGAGCCTCGTTAGAATTTATTATTTTGATAGTTTATTAATAGATAATATTTGAATTGTTAATAGGTAAATCATGTTTAGTAAAAAAAAAACCGCCTGTGAATGGTTTTAAAAATTTCTGAGCGGTTTTGAATTTAGGGTATCTCAAAATCATTCAGCACCTATTACTGATACATGATTTTCTTTTAGTTTTTATGGTATTGGGTCTTATATTAGGAGGCCTGGGAGTAGTATTACTTCTCAATCGATTTATTCGTTGGGATTGATGGCATTACGACCTTTACTACAATGATGTTGTCTATAGATCAAACTATTTCGTGGATTGGATTTCACTTGACTCTCTACGGTTCCATTGCGTGTGCTCGAGAGGATCCCGGGGCTCTGACCGCGTGCCTGTTGAAGAATGAGTCGGTGACTCATAGGCAGTGGCTTGGTTAAGGGAACCCACCGCAGTCATGGTAAAATCTTGGTTTATTTATTTATTAGGGACTCCCAAACGCACGAATTTTTCTCCCACAACATGTTTATCCACCATAATCCAGGTACGTTCACCTTTCTCATCTGGTTTTGAAGTTTAAACCATCCATTTGCTTAAATAATCAATCGATTTTTAAACCATATGCATATGTTTGATTCATAAACAATATTGTGTTCTTCTTTGATTGTTTCATCTAGTTTGTGTATGTTCGATTCATAAACAACATGCATCTGTTCGATTTTTAA